CCCCACCTCCTTGGAATTGTTTTCTGTGCCCATTGGGTCATAGTCTGATCCCAGCTACAGCTGGGAAAGCACAGAGCTGTTCCTTGGGAAAATGGAGCATCTCCAAGCAGAGCGTCGCAGTGCTGGGGTGAGGGTCCAGCCACTTCCTCCCTCTGCTGGGTGGCTGGCAAGCCATGCCCAAAGCACCAGACTTTTGCAGGGTTTTACTGCACCTATAAAGGACCACAGCTTGACCCTCCCCACTGTGAGCAGCAGGTCTTGAGGCTCTGTGTCATGAGGGGATTGGGTACAAGTGGGGCTCAGTGACAAGTGGAAGTTGCCACTGGAGCCAGACATCAGTGCTGGAGTGCCAGGACACTGCTGCCGTGTTAGAAGCCTTGAGGCTGCCACTGGGGCAGGGGTAGATGTTCATATGTCTGATGGAAGGTGGGTTTGCACTGCTGGAACTGGAGTCCTGTGTTCTCTGCTATGGGGAAAGGGAAGGAGAAGGGGAATAATGCGGGTGGGTGTGCAGGGAGGGCAGCAGTGGTCTCCTCTGAGCCATTAGCCAGGATGTGAAATTGGACCTGTTACTTTTGAGGAATGTAGGGCAGTGGAGAGGAGATGTTGTGTGAACGTGCACGCGGCTCTTGCTTCAGTGTCCTAGGCAAATGCCAGAGCGTAGGATGGCAAGGAGTAGTAATTACCCCACAGCTTCAGCTCCACCACTGCACTCTTTGATCACTTATTACTTTTCTATTCCTTCTGCTTCTTGCTGTAATTGTTACAAAATCTCTCTGCTTTGGGAGGGGTCCAGGACTCCAGGGCCCAATTGCATCTGCCCTGATTCAGAAAGTGGGTCATGCTGCTTGGTCTGGGAAGAAGATACTCATCTTGCTTAGCATGATATTTATTAGGAGATAGGGAAGGGAATGCAACCGCGCTGTTGCCTAGAAAATTGCTCTGGGGGGATAGCGAAGGACTTGTGAGGGCAGAGCACAGGAGGTTCTTGCACACCCGGTGCCTGCTGAAGCTTTGCCACGTTCTCCATGCCTGCGCTGCCGCTTCCCTCCCACCAGGACATGGTGCCAATGGTTGGAAGGGTGATAGTGGAACTGGGGACGAGGAAGGGACTTGTGGCTGCTCCCGTGCCAGGTGTTGATGGGCTCTTTACCTTCCTTGGAGTAGAGGCTGGTGGGAATGGAGGAAGGGGAAGATCAGATGTGGTTTGCTCATAGGGACATGCTGTTCTCCCAGTAGCAAGGGAAGACCTAACCTGGTTGGGTTGTGATGTGGACAAGGGACCCTGTGCCTGCACCATTCCAGAAACACAGTGAGCCTGGGTGCTCGCTCCCTGCTAAGACCAATTGGGAAACATGGATCCTGGAGTAGTTTACTCTGTGGTGTATCTATCTCTCATTAAACAACAGAGAGAAGGAAACTGGCTAGAAGCAGCAGGTGATGACCCACCCAGTGGTGGTGCAGCAGGGTCCCACAGCAGGGACTCTCCTCATGGGGGGTAAGAGCACAGCTCATCCTGCCAGGCTGGCTGGGCCTGTGCTGCTGCTTGTGTGAAATCACCCTCGGGATTATCCAAAGGAAGAACTGGCAACTCCAGTAACTTGGAGGGCTGGATCCTCCACTCATTTAAATTGGCATGACTTCACTGAAGCCACTGAAACTGCACTGATTTTACACCAGGTGAGGATCTGGTCCGGAGTCTTCTGAAAGAAGAAGACAAAGAGGGCATGAAACAGATTTGATAGAGCCCACTTACAAGCATGGGGACTCCTGAGCTGTCCTCAGTGGAGAGTGGGTCATTTCCTTACATCTTGGCCAACTCAGAAGGGATCTGGATTCTTGGGACTATGGCAAATGCCAAAGCTTAGCTTCCCTGGCAGGATGAGGGACCCAGATCTTTGCCAGCACTTTGAAATGCATGTTGGCAGGGTTTGATGGGAGCGTTTTCTGCTCATGGCTTTTTAGGGCAGCATGGTGAGAGGGTCTGGAGACACAATGAGGACCCTCACCTTCTGATTTGGCGTGGTTTAAACCCAGCCAGGCTTGTTCTCTTCTCCTGTCCCATCTTTTCCCATACATTCAATTCCACCAGTATCCCCTGTGGCATGTGCTGCCCCTGGCTGTGGCTTTAGCCTTTCACCACTGCCACCACAGGTTCTAATTCCTCTGAGATGATGGGAGGAGAACCTGCGCTTCAAGGAAGTTGAATAGCCGGCATCCGTGTCCCACATGACCGCTCCATTGGGCAGCATTAAGTGCATGCTTCCAGAGAGGTTGTTGGTTCCTGGTGTGGCAGGCTGATTTTGTTTTCCCAGGTCATTCTTAGGTGGGGGTATTATGGGATGTATGTAAGAAGGTATGTCACCCGGTGTTTCTAGAGGAGGTTGTTTGCTGTAGCACCAGGCTCTTAGGACTTGCAGGGATGCACTCACATCCGGGGTGGATCTGGACAAGAGTTTCAGCAACTCCTGGTGCAGCAGCTCAGGGCCGGAAGTGAAGAAGGGGTAAAGTATCCAGCTGAAACTCCTGTGGGATGTAATTACCTGAGCTGGAAGCGGGCCAGGACAGCAGGTATCGTGCATCATCTGCTGGTGGTATCAGAAGCAGCCGGCATGGCAGGAGGAGGTGGTCAGGAGCCGGGAGTGACGGTGTTGGTGCGATAGGGCCGCTCCTTGCGGCTGCCTCTGTGGGCACTCGGCATAACGGCTTTTGAAGTCACTTGGTGTTTGTTTCCATGGTGGTTGTGTGCACGTACCACGGTGCCTTTAAAATGCTCTTGGGAGCCTACAGCCCGTGGATGGATGGCCCTGTCCTGACGCCCATGCAAATGCTCCCACTTTTTCCATTTAAAACGAAAAGAGGAAAAAAAGCTTAAACAAAAAGGAAAAAAAAAAAAAACAAGGAAGAAAAAAAAGAACAACAAAGGAAATTGACTTCCCAAAAATTACACTAAGCTCACATTTGAGGCCTGGCACAAATCCATCACAGCCAGGAAGCTCAGCATTAACCAGTGCACTCCCATGGCTGCTGGGAGGGGTTGCACTCTGGCACCACAGCCCGAAGCTTTAGAAGTTGGGGGCTTGGGGATGAAAGTCCTCAGCGTGTCCCTGAAGGTGTTTTCATGGGCCTCCATGCACCCAGAAAAGCAGCATTAGGTACAGGGGCAGCTTCAGGGTGAGGGTTAACACCAGGATCCAAGAGCTGATCCCAGCACCTGAGCAGGGCTCCTTGCACCAGGACTTTCCCCTTGGGCTTTGTGTTGGAGGAGCAGGGACAGGGCGGTACAGCAGGTACCTGCCAGCGGCTGCTGAGGAGCCTGGAGACTTTACACCCTAGCCCAGGCTGCACGTGAGGACAGAGTTGACTCTTCTTTGCTCCCACTTGCTCATGACACAGCACAGCATACATCAAGGTGATTGACAGCCGCAGTTCAGTTCAGGTTAGAGGGGAAGGGATGGGGGCAGCGCTGGGGCTGGGTGAGCAGAGGAGCAGGTCACAGGAGGAGGCTCCAAGCAGAGATCCTGGCTGGTGCAGGGGATCAGAGGTGGCCTGAGCTGAGGGGATGGAGGGGGGCTCACAAAGCACCCGCTGGGCCTGAGCTGTCAGTGCTGTGTGTTCACTAGGGCTCGCTTCACTCATCAGTGCTGGAGAAGTAAGGAACAGGCTCCTGTAGCCACTGCTGTGAAGAGGCCGAGAGCGGGACGAAGGTCCAGCCCTGCTCCTGCCGTCCCTGGCTTTGGTGGGTTGTAACCTGCTTGTGCTGTGAGTTTTCACAGCTTTGGGGTAGCGCAGGGAGAAGGCTTCACGGCAGAGCATTGATAGCATCTCATTGGGGAGGCTGGGGGAGGTCGGGATGTGTTAAGGCTGAAAATATTTACAGGTTTTGAAGTTGAAACGCAAACAGGAAAAGCCCTTTAAAAAGTGAGTGTAGTGGATATTCAAAACAGGGATTGCCATGGAAACGCCACAATATTTGCTTAAATTGACACAAAGGTTGCTGGTTGCAGGGTTCTGGCTCCTTTGGCTCCATTTTCTTTGGCCCGGCACCTATCACAAATTGATCTCAACAACCCGCTTTTGTTTTGCTTCTTGTATTTTTGTCTGATGGGAATTAAGAACAAACCACCACCAAAACTGCAAATCCCACCTCGGGACGGGGCTGAAGCTCCTGAGCCTCTGTCAAATGTTGGAGCTAAGGACTTGGTTTAATGTTGTGGGTAAGGTAAAAAGTTCTTGTTCTTTTAATGTGTGAATTTATCCATTTCCTCCCATGCAGGAAATGGAAGGGAATTGTCTTTAACAGTCTCGGGAAAGCGGGGAGAAGGGTGAAACCTGTTGCAGAGGTGGCAGTGTGCATCTAAGGAGCACAGGAAGGGAAGTGGGGCTTGTCCAGCTCAGACTGAAGTTTGGGAGGCTTGGTTTTAGCTCCCAATTCTGCCTCAGCTTTGCCAAGTGACCCCTGACAAGTCTCTTACTTTCTGTGTGCCTCACTAAAGTGGAAATAATTCTTCCTTTGTGTCTGTAACGTCTTTGGGGTTGAAGAATTCCATCTGATGTGGGGGTGCGCAGGGCTGGCTCTAGAGCTCTGTCAGGCAACACAAGAGGACCATTTCCCCATCATCTCACATGTGCTCGGCTGGTGATGGGGAAGCTCCTTGCAGTAAGTGGCTTAGGACTACAGGCTGCTCCTGCAGCTGACTGACCTGGAGTTTTCCCTAGGGAAAGTTGGAGTGTGTGGCCCACTGGATAATCACCTGGGTGGTTTGTACCTTGACTTCTGCATGGCTAGAACCACACATGGCAGAGAAGGAGACTGGAATGCAGTGTGTTCGGTGGGGTGTGCAGTGCCTTGCCTCTCTGGACTGTTGTGTGTGACCAAGGCAGAGGTCTGTGGGTGGCTGTGGCATTTGAGGTCGGCGTCATTGCCTGTGCTCGTGATTCACCTGAGCTCTTGGGCTGCTCAGTAAGGAATATTCATTTCCTTTTGAAACTCTCCTCAGGGCCAAGAGACTTCACCAAGTGAAGGGAAGCCATCAAATTCACACTGTTTTCACCTGAGACCACCTGCAAAACAAAGAGCCTGACTTCTCTCCTGGCTTTGCACACTGGAATGGACCTTGAAGCCGGTGACTTCTCAATGCAAGGTACTGACTTGTTCTGTGATCAAACTGTCTGCTCTGAAGTAGGACTGGAGTGAGTGATTTTGGCTCTCTAGAGCCTCCATTCCAGCTCCTGGGAAATCTGTAAGGTTTAGAAGAGCTGCTGAAAGTCATTGGCTTGGGTGGCGCTGGTGTGTCTTGGGCTGGCTTACAAGTAGGACTGGGTTTACCCCTGCCATCGCTGCCTATTTCTGCAGACACAGGCACCCAGCTGACACAGCAAAGCACCAGTTTGAACAGCTCCCTCTCTCAGCTGCCTTCTCCTAATGAGCTGCTGTGCAGTATTAGCAATTAGGTAGGTAGTGTGCCAGAACTGGCTGCATGGGAGTCCCCTGGGTAAGTATTGTGTGGGACAGTTTCTGATTGACTTGTTTCACGAAAGAAGAGGAGTTTGAGGATGTCTGTGGTCACGGTGGGAAAGTCAGAAAGGTTGTGAGAGGGTGGGACTCTCTGTTTCTGAAAGCCATTTTACTTTCTTCACTGCTTGGCTCCCATCACAGCTTCTCCACAAAAAAAGGTAGGGCACAACATGGGTGGAAGAAAGCCACTGTAGGATAACACCAGTGGGATAATGTATTTCTTCTTAATGTTTTGGAGATTTGAGAGGTACCTGGTGGCAGTGCCATACTGCTGCACTTAGAAGGGGTGAGGATCCTTGCTGTGGCTGGGCTTTGTATGATGTTCTGTCTGCTCTTGGGGGGGGGTAGAGGTTTTCTCAAGGGGTATCTCCATACTTTGTTGGCACCAGTGAGTCATGGTGATGCCTGAATGAAGATGAGCAACCCAAAGTGCCTGTGGGGATCGTGTATCACCGTGTTCCTCTGTCTTTTGCTGCTGTGCCACAGATGATAGTTGGGCAAAGCAGCGTTTCCAACGCTGTTGTGGGTCAGAGGTACAGCTGAGACCTGAACTGGAAGGATTGGGGTGAAGGGACTGTATTGGCCTAGCAAGAGGGAAGAGGAGAAAAGTCACAAGGCTGAGATGTTGGTCTGGGGCTTCATCCCTGGCTCTGTGTGGCACGGGGGGAATTTACTCGTTCTCAGTGCTCTACTTTAAAGAGCAACAGCCATGATCCTCTAAGGCTCTGCAGAGCTTAGTGCCTGCCACGTGTTCGGAGCCTACAGACCTGAGTGCTTTCAGTAAACCTGCCAGGAAATACAGTGTGCTTCAGGATGGGATATGGGTGAACTGTGCCTTCCCACACCTTCCTCGTGCTGAAACTCCTCCAGGGTCTGGCATGCTTTATTTGGAAAGCTTGGTTTTGAGCTGTTAATGTCGGGAATTCTGGCCTTTATCCCTGAGTGAGCTGCTCTGGTGCTGTGTCCCCTTTTAGAGCAGCGGCACACGTCTTCCCAGAACCCCAGAGGCAAGAGAGCTTCCCAAATCAGAGCTCTGCCCAAGGGGATAAGGTCGTGGAACATGAAGAGCCTTGAGGTTTTGTCACATAAGATACAGATTCTCAAGTTTGACTACAGCAGGTGAATTTTGCACCAAACATCCTTATGTGCCTCTCCAGAGAGGCCCAACATCCATGGGGAATAACTGCTGTGGAAGCTGCTGCAGAGGTTCTGGGTCCATTTTTCCATCAGAGGGAGCTTTTCCAGTAGCTCCTGGTGTTGCAAGCCCTCATGTCCATCTGGCATGGGCCTAGGATGTGCAAGACCTTTGAGGCAGGAAGGCAAGAGGAGGAGACAAGGTATATAAGGAATTCCTTAAGTGCTGACATGAACCTTAAGGTCCAGGTTCTTGCAGATCAGTAGTCCTCGATGTTTGCCTTCTTCTGCTGGGTGCATTGCCTGTACAGAGCTGAGTGTTCTTCAGGGGCTGTTTTCTGAGGGGCAGAAGCTCATTAGAGACAATGGAAGTATTTCCTTTGACTCCAGCTGTTCTCTGAGGTGCCCCTAGTTGTACAAGCATCACTTCAGTGAAGGAGATGCATTTAGCCTCTCAGGCATGTGGCTTTGCTATCGCTCATGCTCTGGACTAGAAATCCCTGTGTTCCAGTCTTCAGCCCTGGAGCAAGTTGTATGGCTTCTACTTTCAAAACAAGCTCAATTGACTTTGGGCTACAGAGGCTGTTTGCACGTTCTCCAGAGCCCATCCCTAGGCTGTGATTGCTTTTGCACTGTTTATAAGCACAAGCTGGCTGTTTAGTCCTAGAGCTGGAAAGGTTGGAGGGAGTTTTCTTGTTTGGTTGATGAAGGGGAGCCTTTTTGTGGGGAAAAATGTGGGAAAATGATTAGAAATACCTGCTCTGTCTGTGATTCAGTTGACAAAACATTTCCCCTTGCTTCAATCTGAAAAGTAAACCTAAAGTCAGGGCTTAACTTGGGCTCACTGTGCTGCTTGTGCTGGGATCCTGGGGATCACCGCATGGGAGCGAGGTGGGAACCCTGCCTCATGCAGTGCTGCAGCAGGCCCAGCCCAGCCAGCCCTGACGGCTCCGATCCTGAGCTGGGGAATATGAAACAGCCTTGCAAAATCATTGTGGAAATTTACCCGCCTGTGTATGAAATCAGCTTGCCTGCCTTTGCCAGGAGGAGTTTAACTTGCCCATTAAAATATACATCTATTTATGTATTACTTGTTCTGTGAGAGAAAATTTTCCCAGGCAGTTACAAAACTCAGTCTAGACTGTAACGTGTGGCATCTGGTGGTAACATGCCATATACATATATCTGAATACAGTATCTACTGTATCACCCTGCTTGGGAGTTAATAGCACGTATCTGGATTATAGCAAGGGCTTTCCATTCACAGCACGCTCTCACTGGATAAAAGTTTGGCCCGGTTCCTGCCTGCACTGGTCTGAATGGGGCTCTACCCTGCCTGCTTGTACCCAGATAAAGCAAGGCAGGCATTTCCATGCTGCCTGTTCTGACCTGTGGCCCCACGGTCCACCTAGGCTGGAGGCAACAGTTGTGGGGCGCAGCTCTTCCGGTAGGGCTGAGTTGAGGACAGGGAAAGATGTTAAAAGCCTGGCTGGGATAAGAGCAGGGTTGTCACATCCATCTGCTCAGGCCCTGACGAGCAGCTGATCCATATTGTTAACATATTGCCTGCCATATGGGCTAGCTCAGCTCTCCAGGAACGCTTGGGAGACCTGACCTCTAGTGTGACAAGATGTGAGCATGAAGGACGGGTTGACAACAGCCCTTGGGTCTCGGAGTGTGAAACTGTGTTCCAGCCACTTCCGCTGCCTTCCCTGCGCTCCCTGGCGCTGTCTCTCCCTCCCTCTCTTCCCTCTCTTCTCCCTCGCAGAGGGTTTTTCCTCCCTCCCCTGTTTTCCGCATCCCTGGTCTGCACTAGATCAATGACCTTCACTCATAACCAGACTGGACAGTTCTGACTCCCTCCCCCGGGCCTTCGATCAGATGTTTGGTTGGCGGCTGTGGAAAGCTGAATGGGGGAAGTCAAAGGAGGGGAAAGATGATCATGTGCTTGGCAGGCCTTATAGCCGTCCTTCCCATATGTGGCCTGGCAATGGGGCTGAAGCCTGATCCACTAAGGTCCTTAGCACCTCTGGCTCATGTGGACAACGGCACATGCTCCTACAGCCTCCTCAGAGAGGGCCAAGTCCAGCAATGGGGTCTAGGCAGGTTGAAAAGGCTCAGAGGTTCAGGGAAGGGCCCTGATGTAGAGTTTGAGGAGGAAACACTTGGGAGACACAGAATGATTTAGCCTCAAGCTCAAGGTAGGCGCAGCACAGCCCAAAGCCCTTTGTGAAGCCTGGCTGTGCCCAGCAGCAAGTGATTTTGCACTGCAGCATCCACATGAGGGGGAATAGTTGGACGAGGTGGAAAAGCTGAAGAGGTTTTCTAGCAGTGCGGAAGCAGCTTAGCAGGATCCCTCCCTCATGGTGAAGGAGGTCTGAGTGCAGAGCCTGTGAGGCAGTGATGTCCAAGCACAGAGCTCATGTGTGTGGATGTGTGCAGCAGCTTTTAGCCCTAAAGAAGCCCAGTGCTTAAGTGAGGGATGAGATTTGCCTGGGTGAGCATCACACAGGAGACCAGCATGGCCCAATAACACAGATGGAAGAAGGAGGTTCAGTACTGGAGGAAACAGGACCAGGCCTTTATGGGTTTAGACCTTGCTTTCCCTGCCACCTTCAGTCACTCTTCTGACTTCATGGTGTTCTGTGTTCTAGAGCCATGCAGATGGAGGTGGCCAGCTCTTTCCTAACGCCTCTGTCTTCACACTTGAACTTTATGGACGGTAAATCCTGGCACTGTTACAGCAAGCACGAGATTTGCCATAAACCTCAGCGGAGTCAGGATTTCAGACCTGGCTCCTCAGAAAAGGAGCGGGATGTTTCCCAATCTCTCTTACCCATCAGGTCTGTGAGACCTGCAGGCATGACTTACCTGTCTCTTAGCCTCCCTAAGTAAGGGCTGCCTTTCTTTTAAACGCCTGTCCCGTGAAAGTCAATGTCCTCAAAAAAGCTGGGATTTCACTGCTCTCCATAAAGCTTTTAGGCCTGTTTAGGGTCCTTCCTCACCCTCCTTCCCCATACATCTGCAATGCAATGAGCATTCATAGTGTTTATTTGTAGAGAGGAGCCCACTGAGGTATTGCAAAATAAAACACGGTGATGAGTCGTGGTTTATTTACTCAAGCCTCACTGATGTAACAAACCTGATTTTATGCTAATAATGACTCAGAAGCAGAGTTGGGAGGAGAAGCCAGATCTCCTGATTCTTTTAGCCAGATCTCCTGATTTCTTTAGCCAGATGACAGTATTTCTTCCTTAGCCTTACTAGATTCAGCAGCAGTTCTCTCAGCTGGGATGCAGGAGGAATTCCATGGCACCCTGATGAAGGAGGTAGCTAAAGGAACAGGTTAATAGGGCTCTGCCAGTTGCACATGTAGGGACAGTTCAGCTCTGACTGTATATGAGGCTGTTTGTCTGTCCATAAGGCAGCTATCCAGTGGGAGCCACCCCTGGCGCTGCCCTGCCGGAGTTCCTGAAGGAAAACCGGTTGGAA